TCAGATAAACTTTGACCGCTCTCAATCGATTTCTTTGTGTTATCAGATTGTAGTTGTTGAACTTGAGTTTTCAAGTCGGTTTTCTCCGTTTCCAAACGTTTTATTTTACTCAAGTACATCGATTCTTGTGCCTTGAATCGCATTACCGTTCTTTCCTTTTCTTCTTTTAACTCTTTCTTCGATTCTTCAAGTTGTTGATTTACTTCCTGATATTGTCGTTTTGATGTTTCCAACTCCTTTGCGAGATCCTGATTTTGACTCTGAGATTCTGTAAGCTTCTTCACGATCTCCTGATTTTGTTGCTTAGAATCTTCCAATTCTTTTTTCGACTGTTCAGATGACTGTGCTTGTTTTTGTGCATTTGTTCTAGTAAGATTCGAGTAATGAGCAATCTGTTTCTTTGCCCTTTCGAAATTCGCCTTTTCCTTCTGTAGATCTTGGGTTATTTGTTCTTTTTCTTTTTCGAGCTTAAGGTTCTCTTGTGTCAGCAGTGACATATCTTTCTCGATCTGTTCCAATTTACTTTTTAGACCTTGACCTTCAACCTTGAACTTGCCCGCCGCAACTCTCGCGCCATCAAACTACAAAGTTAAAAATGGCAATCGCGTTATTCAAAAACATAACAAACTGTCTATTTTTTGAATTTGATCGTAAAATTGCTTGCCTGTTTCTTTAATTTTGCCATATCCAATTTGAGCTTATCCCTTTCTTCTGATGCTGATTTCAAGTTATCCTTTAAGGTTTGTAATTCAGCGGGATCACTAATCTGTTTGCGAAAATGAAGAAGAAAGAATTCAGAAAATTTCGCATGATGTAAAAATCTAAGTGGTATATATATGAAAAAAAAAAAAAAAAACTTACTCCATATTTCTGCAAAATCGTTTGGAATCGGTTCTTCCATCGTTCATTATCTTGCTTGAGAATATTTACCTCCTGAAGAGCACTATCTCGATCCAGATTGAGACTTTGAATTTGAGCTTTTTAAAATTTCATTAAATTAATTAATAAGTGAAATAGCATCATTCAATAGAGTAGAAAAATGATATTAACCTTCAAAAGTTTGTATATCTTCTTCAGACTTTTTAAGTGAAGATTGCAAGGTGGTAACTTGTTGTTCTAACTTCTCTTTTTCAGCTCTTAGAGTCTGGTTGCTTTCGTCAAGGATTTTCATTTGAGTACGTTTTTCAAGAAGTTCAGCTTGCTGCTGCTCAAAAGATTCAGAGTTTTTCGCGCGCTCACGTTCCTAAATTAAGTTATGGCATTAACTTATTAACGTGGATCTCGGAAGATGAAGCCATAATATCAAGATTTTTACCTGAACAAGTAATTCACGAGTTTCATCCAATGACTTTTGTGCTAGTTCAAACTGTGCCTTAAACCTTTCTGCTTGCTGCGCAAAAATTTCTTTTTGAGTCGCTAATTTTTCCTTTTCACGTCGCAGAAG